GAGAAATGGAGAAGGACTTGTGGAGTGATCATGCCCCATTGATGTGGGGTGCTTCTCCCCTCCTCTTGTCTTCTGACTCTGGCAAACACACACACACACACACACTGACAATTAAAAAAAGGGAGGTGGGACCAGCAGGTGGCGTAATGGTTACATCAGTAGACCCCACGACTGACATTTGAGTCCCTGATAAAACTCACACCAGGTGCATGTGCAAGAATGCCCAAGATCCTGGGAGGAGAATGGAGAAGGGATTATGGTATGGCCATGGTGGTGGGGGGTAATTTCTTGCTTTCTGTCTCTCCCTCTCTGTCTCTCCTGCCCTATAGCAAAAATCTCTCTTAAAAAAAAAAGTAATTGTTCAAATCAGCTCAGCTACCATGTTACACAAGTAATGTTGTCTAGAATCTTATCTTTGTATAGGAACAGACTTATCTCAGATATTTTATGTTTTAATGATTCTACCATAAAAGGAGTATCTATTCCAATGTATTGGGTTGTCGGAAAAATCATGATGTATTTTTGTTTCCCTAAGCAAAAAATGCATGACTTTTCTGACAACCCAATATTTGTTGAAGTTATACATATTTTGTGAGCATGTTTGTGTGCAATGATTTTTGTATCATTATTTCTTATTCTGCTTGGTTTATTCCAGTTTAAGAAAATTTATTCTTAAATTTCCCAGTCTTAATTTTTTGTTGTTGCAAATCCAACCATTTTCATATATAAGCTACAATATTGTACTTTCTCTATAACTTAAAATTCTGAAATCTTTTTGAATGAAAATTTTTCCTGTTACAAACCTCCAAAATTTATGTGAACACACTGTCTTTACTTTGTCTTTCTCCAACGCAGTGTGAATGATTTTTTTGGTTACAGATACACTCATATGTTTATTAACAGGCACTAACCTGTACCTGTTAGGGAGGTTACATACTATATGTATCTTACTGTCATGTTAAAATCCAAACAATCATAAATTCTAAAATACTCCTGATCCTTGGACCAGCAGTTAGCGTAATGGCTATGTCGCTGGACTCCCACGTAGTCAACTGCGGTTTGAGTCCCGGACCTGGTGGCTTAAACTCACGCCAGGTGCGTGTGTGTGCGTGCATGCCCAAGATCCCAAGAGGAGAATGGAGGAGAAGGGACTGCGGTGTGGCCATCCCCCCTGGGGGGTGATTTCTCGCTGTCTCTCTGTCTCTCTCTGTCTGTCTGGCGAGCGCACGCGCCCTATAGCAAAAACCTCTACAATAAACAAACAAATAAATAAATAATAAAATACTCCTGATCCTGAAGGACCAGTGCACACCCAAAGTTCCAAGCAGAGAATGGCAGAGAGAGAATTGTGGCATGGCCATTCCCTCAGGTGTGTGTGTGTGTGTGATTTCTGTCTGTCTGAGGTGAGCACACGGACCCTATAGCAAAAATCTCTCTTAAAAAAAAAATCTATTCAGAAATCATGTTTTCTTCAAATTAAATTACGGGAAATTAATAGCATAATTAAGTTACCAAAAGAAAAACACAGTATATTAAAAGTATGCAATTAATTGGAGCTGGCAGGTGGCATAGTGGTTAAGGGCACTGAACTCCCACATGGCTGACCATGGTTCAAGTCCCATACTTGGCAGCTTGCTTTCTTATTTCTTACTTTCCCTCCCTCTATCTAAAATTTTCTAAAATAAATAAATAAATAAATAAATAAATAAAGGGGGGGGGAAGTATGCAATTATTGGGCCAGCTCTAGGGCCTAGCAGTTAAGGGAGCCAGATCCTACATGGCGAAAAGTTGTCCAAATCCTGGCCCCAGCAGCTGAAAACTATACCCAGGCATGTATGTGCATGCCCCAAATCCCAAGAGGATGGAGAAATGGAGAAGGACTTGTGGAGTGATCATGCCCCATTGATGTGGGGTGCTTCTCCCCTCCTCTTGTCTTCTGACTCTGGCAAACACACACACACACACACACTGACAATTAAAAAAAGGGAGGTGGGACCAGCAGGTGGCGTAATGGTTACATCAGTAGACCCCACGACTGACATTTGAGTCCCTGATAAAACTCACACCAGGTGCATGTGCAAGAATGCCCAAGATCCTGGGAGGAGAATGGAGAAGGGATTATGGTATGGCCATGGTGGTGGGGGGTAATTTCTTGCTTTCTGTCTCTCCCTCTCTGTCTCTCCTGCCCTATAGCAAAAATCTCTCTTAAAAAAAAAAGTAATTGTTCAAATCAGCTCAGCTACCATGTTACACAAGTAATGTTGCTGCTTGGCTGGCTGGAAGACACAGGATAGGTCTGAGTCTGGTTCCTGAGACCAAACTGAACAAGTCTGGAAAAGCTGCACACATCTGTTATCCTAGACAACTGGGATACAGAAAGATAGTGACATAAGACCCAGTCAAAAATACCTTTTGGTGTGTCATAAACAGGAAAATATTTGCATTAAAATGGCTGTCATGAATTAATCTTCAACAATAAACTTATTTAAACCACTTTTGGGGGGCCAACAGGTGGCACGGTGGTTGAGGTATTGGACTCCGACATGGTTGACTGTGGTTCAAGTCCTCAACCCAGCAGCTTGGAACTCAAGCTGGCACAAGAGCATATGTACCGAACCACCCGAAATCCTGAGAGAATGGAAAAGGGATTGTGACATGGACATCTCTCTTGTGGGGGTGATTTTTTTCTTTCTCTTTGTTTCTCCAGAGATCACATGCACCCTATAGCAAAAATCTCTTTATAAAAATAAAGTGTAAAATATTTTTATTCCATACCAGAGAAATAGAAATAATTAGAACTTCAAGAAAGCTAGCTTGGGGAACCAGCAGTTAGCGTAATGGCTATGTCGCTGGATTCCCACGTAGTCGACCGTGGTTCGCGTACCGGACCCGGTGGCTTAAAACTCACGCCGGGCGCGTGTGCATGCGTGCCCAAGATCCCGAGAGGAGAATGGAGGAGAAGGGATTGCGGCGTGACCATCCCCCCTGGGGGGTGATTTCTCGCTTTCTGTCTCTATGTCTCTCTCTGTCTGTCTGGCGAGCGCACGCGCCCTATAGCGAAAATCTCTCAAAAAAGAAAAAAAAAAGAAAGCTAGCTTGCTTCCTTTTGGCCAGAACCATCTTCCAGTAATTCACCAAAATGACGAACACAAACGGAAAGAGGAGAGGCACCTGATATATGTTCTCTAGGCCTTTTAGAAA